AAAAAAAAAAAAAAAAATGTGTATATATATATATATATATATATATCTTTCTCTCAAAGGCTTCTTTGCCGGTCTCTTTATACACATGAAAACCCTACCTGGAAGTGGGAACTGTTTTAGAAAGGTGATACCTATACAACCTTTTATTCCATTTAAGTCATCTGTCTGAAGACTTTGATGGCAAACATTTAAAGAGCTTTCCCCACTTAAAAGGACCCTGCCTTTGGTATCAAACCTTACAAATCCTGGTGAATCCTTCAGGCTCTGCTCACTCTAAATGTGCTCCTGTTCTATCTGGTGTTGGAGAAATTGGGAGCTTGCTGTTTGTGAGTGGATGTGTGTTTACTCTGTCAAGAATATGAAGGACTGATAAGCAAATCTTGAGATTGCTCCACTAGGCATATTCTATAACTCTTAAGAGTCACTGTGTACCACTCTAAACAGACACAAAAGAAACAGGTGGGATTAACAGCATGGTTTCCTAAAAGGCAAATCACATTTTCCATGGCAACGATAAAGGAACTTTTGAATTCTTTTAATTTATTGTTGAAAATAAGATTTGGTGTTGCTCGCCAGAAGCACTGAAACTTAAGTCCCACAGGGGAAGAAATCTCAGCCTGTGACGCTTCAATAGCAAGACCAGCTCCCACACACAAAGCAGGAACAAGGACTAATCTCTTCCACCAGCCACACAGGATACTTTCATTGGCATATGCTGAGTGCGAACTGTTGACCCAAAGAAAACAGGCATTTGAGATATTTTGGGGTCACATGACATGATCTGACATCCCTTCAATTCCCATCTCCCCTCGGGCTAAGGCATGAGAACATGTTACAATGAGTTCTTTTAAGTGCAGGATTAGCATATGCAAGGAGGCAATTTGTTCAGTGATGTGTTACTGCCCTGAACGACTGTGAATGAGCTGTGCAAAAACCTCCCTTCACAAAGCCCAGATAACCCCAATTTCTGAAAGATGTTTGAGAACTAAAAGCAGGTGTCCAGGCCAACAGACAATTATGCTACCTTCCTGTGTCACAATTTAAAATAAAAAAGGGCAGGGGAAATCTTTAGGTTAGACCACATCGGAGGTGACAATATATACCAGCAGCAAAAAATCTTATGGTCCATTTTTTAAGGCCATGAGTTTTTGATCCCCACCAGACAGAGGTAATCAATCAGCCAGGTGGCTGGCTCTCAAATCTCCCCTGGGAAAAACCTGGACCCCACCATGGGAGTGCTCCCAGCTCAACCTCACACAGGAGGAAATCAAAACGGAGGACCAGAAGGCAACACGAAGCCTCGTGGCCCACTTCAGGGGCTGATTCTAAAGTGAGCTGAGCTCTTTTATTCCTGACTGTTGAAGCTACACAAATGCCAGGAGGCTCAGATAAAAGGAGGTAGAGGGAACTAGGCAATTCAATATGGAGAAGCTCAAAGTAATGGCTTTACCACAGGGGCTGGGGCTGAAAGGTGAGCTGGCTGCATCCCTGAACTA